TTCACCGTGCCAATGATTGATGCAAATCTGAGTCTTCCAGCAACCAAGCACTGCAACATGCGTCTGTGACCTCTAGCGTCTCCTATAGGATATGTTCATGATCAGGTGACCATCAGTTGATTCCTATTCTGCATTTTCTTCCAGTCCTACAAAGACTGGATACAGCACAACAAATATACCTCCTCACTCAGTTGGTCTCGCGCTCTGGAGCATTTCGTGAATGGATGTGTGACATTTTCGTTCTACTCCTCGTATCAGACCCATCTCTTATGATATCTTTTTTTTCCTTGATTCTTCTATCCTTCTCGTACTCCACCTATTCCCGTTTTTTTTTCTCGTTCCTTCGTGTTATTTTTCATTCTCGTCTACTTCTATGCGCGAATATCTTTCTTCCATTCATTTTCCCGATTGTTCTACCTTCTGTCTTTATACCTATTTGATCCTATATCCTGCAGTATTACCCCTCATACTCCTATTCGCGCTCTCATTTGTTCCCTCGGCGTTTCGCTCCCCTCTACTTCTAAGCTAATATCTCCCTCCTCCATTCCTTTTCCTCGCTTGATCCATCTTATCTTAATCAAATCTTACCTGCTTCCATCCTGTCCCTAGCCTACCCTGCAATCAGTCCACCTCCCATCGTCAGCATGTTTCCTTTTTTTTTTTTTTATTTCTGGTTTATGCTGACCTATTTCTACTTGTATTTTACATTCATTTACACCTTTTACACGTGCTTCTGAATAAAATTATAATTAAGGAAAATCGTTATCTTCACACGATAGCAAATAATTTCCCTAGTGTGCGGATAATAGGGTATCCATATCTGCTGCAACAATTTTATTTTCATTGTTTTTTTTTACACTTGAATGTTGACGCCATTTGCCCTTTGTTGCTTGTTTGTATTCTAGTCAATTTTATTTCCTAGAAAAGAAAACAAAGCACTCTCTATTCGTTATTTTATTAATATTCACGTTTCCACTAATGTGAGGTCATTCATCCCCAATGTTTTGTTTTTGATATTTCGACTTTACCCCTTTAAATTACTATTCAGGATGATTACCATCACTGCTGAAAGTATAGTTTTACTTGGCTAGGTGTGTTTATATCCTACATGTTTTGTTTTGCTATTATTTTTTTTTACTTATTTAACAGTCTTTTAGGCCCTGTTATTCGTGAACTTCGTTCTCTCTTTTTCGTAATTCTCAACCCTTCTGGCATTTCTCATTTCAATTTTGATTTCAGTTTTTGTTTCGATTTTGGCTAAGTGTGTTTATATTCTCCTACCTGTTTTATTTTGCTATCATTTTTCTTTACTTATTTAACAGTTTTTTTTAGGTCCTGTTATTCGTAAACTTCTTTCTCTCTTTTTCGTAATTCTCAACCCTTCTGGCATTTCTCATTCTAATTTTGATTTCAGTTTTTGTTTCGTATTTTTTGCGCATTTGTTTCTTTCTATGTTTGATCATTTTTTGGTAACGCTCCATTTAGGCTTCCATATCCGGGCCCCCGTTTTCCCTGACCCTTAAACGAGGGCCTCTTTTGTGCTCTTCATTCCTCATTTCTTAAGCATATGAAATAATACTATCCTTGTTTATTGTTTTTTCTCCTTTGTTCAGTTGTGAAGCATTTGCGCAACATACAGTATGTATCCTACGTAATTCAGACGCGCGGTAAACTATGATAGAATACTTTTGTGCCAAGAAAAAAATCTTATAAATCATTTAATCTTCCGTGTTGTGATGTTATTGTCTGATATTAATTTTCTCTCCCTTTTCAAAATCTTTTACACATCGATAACCATTTAACCTTAATTAGGACTGACTTATATGGGATTTGACATAAAGTTTCGCACGGCCCACTTTCTCTCTCTCTCTCTTTATATATATATATATATATATATATATATATATATATATATATATATATATATATATATATATACATATATATAATATATATATATATATATATATATATATATATATATATATATATATATATATATATATAATATAATATATATATGTGTGTGTATGTGAGTATTATGCATGTATCTATACACACACACACACACACACACACACACACACACACACACACACACACACACACACACACACACACACACACACACACACATATATATATAGTCATAGATAGATAGGTTCAGAACACATGTGTGTGCATGTATATATGTAAACATCTGTAGGCACTAAATGTGGTATACATTCGTCGTGTCTAGAATATGAGAGAAACAATAATCAGGATGGGGTAAGTTACCAGCTAGCAATTTTCACTGCCAAATTAGGCGTTTTGGGCAGTTTGATACAAAAGCCTACACTCTGGCAATTTACCTCTCAAAATATCACATTTCGAGACTTTCTCCTTGAGAATGGAGCGATTTTTTTGCTTTGAACATAACTGTATATATACATATACAAGTATATATATATACTATATATATACTTGATATTTGTTAAAATTGCGTAAGAAATTGTCATATATTGATATGCTATTGAAATATTACTCAGTAAAGTGGATATGTAGGCACATGCCAAACTGTATGGGTACGAAACATATCTATGAATTGTGACGGCGCCTTCAGTGTAGTATGTCGAGCACACTACAATCTCTTCTAAATTGTCTGAAATACTAAGGTAAAAAGGATTCTTGCAAGTTATACCGGGGTTGATCAGACGATGCGGATCAGTAAAGTATGTTTCAAGAAATTCCAGCCATGGTACACCTACGATTACGTTGGGGTTAAAGAACACGAGACGAGGGCATCATCGGTAAGTGGAGTGACATTAGGAGAGATGGTTCTTCGAATACGCGTGGATTAGAAATGCACTCATGGCGGTTTAATTTCAACTAACAGTGGCTGTAAGTTATTACACTTCTATATCTACCTCAGTGAGCTGATAAAGAGCAATGCTACAGGCAGAAAAACAGAAAATATACGACTGTACAAAAAAGGCGTTTTCGCAAAGGAAATAAATACTGCTTACTGATACGTCCACTGACGTGGCGTACAGGAGCACCTGTGTATGTGTGAGGTATTGTTCTGCTAAAACGTCACGGCTGCATTGTGGGGCCTCGTGGCTGTTTCCAAGACGACGGATAAGGTTTTATTTAACACTACTAAGATTCTCCTTGTCAAGAATCCTGTTGCCATGAACGATTGTATCTGATACAATCCTCCATGTTAATGATGCAGTCATTATGGCCAGGGAGAGAAATGCATTAAGGGTCACGCATTAAGAGTTATCAGGCAACATTAAAACGAGTTATTCTTCATGAGATTCCGAAGGGGTTCAGGAAAGACACTCTTTGACGCAAAAGCCTTGCCTTCGATGGGATGAATGTCTCTAAAATCATTTTGTACGTCAATGATATGACAAAACAAGCTCAAGAATATAAAAGAAAATGCTGTGCACCCTGATTTGTAGATATGCGGTGACATCCAAAAGTTTATGCAACGTCCACATTTCATGTGAAGTACAATATATGTAATAAGGAAAAATATATTTTGACTGAATAAGAGAAATACACAATGTTATGCTTGTAATTAAACTTCATATCAGCATATTAAATATTTTAATGGTTTTCTACTGACATTTTCACGTAAATTAAAAAAAAAAACTTTCTCGGCAACTTCGATGATATCGTGTTTTGTAGCGACCGCGGCACAGTTTGAAACGATATATTAAGTTGTTAGGGGCTTCGGGATGCTACAAAAAGGCCTTTGATCCCCGCTTCTTCATGACGTAAATTACATGCTTCTTTATCAACGAGTACATGATAAGTACTTTTATAAGCACATATATGTCAATAGCATATCTCCTCGATCGTGTGGAGGATGTTTTTTTTTTTTTTTTTTTTTTTTTTTTTATCGGGAATGCTTGACAACCCAACCCCCCTTTGGTCTCGAAAAAAAAAATGAAGCAGGAAACCCGAGGCCATATGAAGATCTTGCTTAATGTGCTTTAGATGTCTGATCATTCTAATCAACGAATACTCTTGCAGAGGCATTTTTCTCATGTAGGTACAATCATACAGAAGCATGTGCAAATAACAAAAGAAAAAAAACCCTGAGGATGATCCTTTTAATACTCTCTACGGCTATATCAGAAAAGCTGTCTTCAATTTCATTTGATTTTAAGTGTTTTGATAACAACATTTTTGTTTATAATTTTGTTGATTCAAATGTATAAAAAGATGATTACCTGATTATTTCAAGTAGCTTTTATATTCTCAAATAACCGGGAAACAAATAACACTTCACATAGATCATATTTCTCATTACCATTAAATTATTTTCATAAAGAAATATTTTCCTTTTACTTTAGAAGCAGATAGGCCTTACTATTATTTTCTATAGAAAAACACTTAAAGATCTTACATTTACCTCAACTGATGTTCTGCATATACATATATATATATATATATATATATATATATATATATATATATATATATATATATATATATTTAGAGAGAGAGAGAGAGAGAGAGAGAGAGAGAGAGAGAGAGAGAGAGAGAGAGAGAGAGAGAGAGAGAGAGAGAGAGAGAGAGAGAGAGAGAGAGAGAGAGAGAGAGAGAGAGAGAGAGAGAGAGAGAGAAGAGAGAGAGAGAAGAGAGAGAGAGAAGAGAGAGAGAGAGAGAGAGAGAGAGAGAGAGAGAGAGAGAGAGAGAGAGAGAGAGAGAGAGAGAGAGAGAGAGAGAGAGAGAGAGAGAGAGAGAGAGAGAGAGAGAGAGAGAGAGAGAGAGAGAGAGAGAGAGAGAGAGAGAGAGGGAGAGAGAGAGAGAGAGAGGGAGAGAGAGAGAGAGAGAGAGAGAGAGAGAGAGAGAGAGAGAGAGAGAGAGAGAGAGAGAGATAGAGAGAGAGAGAGAGAGAGAGAGAGAGAGAGAGAGAGAGAGAGAGAGAGAGACAGACAGACAGGCAGAGAGAGAGAATTACGTATGATCGTAGCTTTGAACACCTGTATTACAGTTTAGATGCAGTGGATACAACCATTGTTCAGTTCCTCGGTTCTTCCCATTTGGTCTCCACTGTTGCTTTTGGATCCGGAGGTAGGTTTCCCTTTACAGAAAGATCTATGTTTTTTATCATGTTAAACGTTCATGCAATTATTTAATATGCTTATTGTACATTAAGCACATGCATTCTGATCACTGAGTATTGTCCGAATATATGTACTGTCATTTAACAAAATGGTGTCGTAGTTTCATGAAAAAATGTACAATGATACGTAACTGTTAACGGATAACGCCACTTAGGACTGTTATTTTCGAATCTTTTTAATCCTTTCAGAACATCCCAGAGCGGTGAACACGACCTGTTTCAAAGATTGTGCCTAAAAATAGCTGGAGGAAGGGGACTGTTTATCTTAAAGTCACACCGATATCCTTATCTGAATTTACATAACAAACATGTCCCACATCGAAGAGAATCCTTTTGGATGCAGTGTATGTAAGGTTTTTAAAAAGAAGAAATGCACTCACGAAAAACGGTTTGCAGGGGAAAAACCGTATGACTGTAAAGTGTGTGGAAAAGATTTCTCCCACAAAGGGGATCTGACACGGCACCTGAGAATTCACACAGGGGAAAAACCTTATCGTTGCATGACATGTGATAAGTCATTTGCTCATAAAAGTAACCTCACGCAGCATATCAGGCGGCACACCGGCGAGAAACCCTTCGAGTGTTTCGACTGCGGGAAAACCTTTTCAAGAAAGGCCGGACTGACTCAGCATATCCGGCTACACACGGGAGAAAATCCCTTCGAGTGTTACTACTGCAAAAAGTCATTTCCTAGAAAGGGAAGCTTAATCAGTCACATATGGCACCACAACGGAGACTGGCCCCTTAGGTGCAGTTATTGCAACAAGGGATTTGGGGATCAGCACCATTTGGTGATTCATGAAAGGATTCATACAGGTGAGAGACCCTACGCGTGTAACACATGTAAAAAAACATTCGCAGACAAGAGTATCCTTGCCCGTCATGTAAAACTTCACGAGGTTTCCGGTTTGTCTGGGGAAGAATCTCCCTGCAACAAGAATAATAGAATCACATGCGACATTTGCACGGAACAAACACCTTGTAAATGCCAGGAACGTGGCAAGGATTTCAGGGATTGTGGAACTTTACAGCGACACATAAAACAACACGCAGCTATGGCTCTCCACCTAGGAAGAGCAGAGGAGGATCACTATAGAGCAGGAGATTCTCAACCGCTAGATTCGTTGATGGTCGTCAGCAAAGGAGCGAATTTAGAGTATGACTTAGGACAACTTTCAATTGATCCCACAAAATCGAGAGAAATCTGCAGTCTCCAAGACAAGACCAGAACACAGAACAATCACGGACTACAGTTGCATAGCAAGTCTGAGTACCAAGCGTCTGGCCCAGAAACAGCATGTACGAAAGTCGAGTCTGCGCCTTTGTGTGATGCAACAGAGAAAGGCATCGTCACACTTGATGTCAAAACGGGATGTTTGAGCAAAGAACAGTGTGACAAAATTCTGTTCTCTTCTGGCACCGTGCGTATAAGAAGTCCTTCAGTATGTTGCAGTTGCACATGCAGAACACAAAATAGACACATCATAGACGAAGCGGAGACCAACGATTACGAATGGAAACCAGACAACATCTGCTATGACGAAGGGGGAAAAAGTTGGAACGCGGAATTTGAATATCAAACAAGTGGCTCGAAACAAAGTGATTTTCAGATCACTCCGGTTGATAACGACGGGCAGTTGGAATCTTCCATTTTTAATTACCCCGATGGGTATCATGGAAAAAAAGAAAATGAGGCCTACATTAAAGAGGAGTTAGAGTATTTTGAAATCGCCGACCAAAGTTTTTAAAACAGATAAAATACTTTTTTTGTGAATGCACATGTTTGTTTGTCTTTGTGTATATTTTCATGTTCCTAGTAGTATTTCTAGACTTCTGGTGGTCATTAAACTAATGTTATCTTATGACTAAAATATCCGATAATATTTTACCTTAAATGAGTGATGTAAATAAGTATTCTATACTGCTTTAATAGGATTATTATATATAATTCCCTTTATTTCACTGAAGTGATATCATTTTATGTATTTCGTGTATCGCATTCACGTTTGGGCAAAAGTAGTTCTGTAAAAATGAAGTCAATGATTGGTTCTTTGCTTTTCTCTCACGCCTTTCTCGTACCTTAAACCTGTCAATTATTTACCAAAAGGAGGGGCGACATTGACTTCCGGCAGAGGAACGAAATATTTATTAAGGGAAAGGAAAAAATGACGGGGATCTCTTAACGTAGTGGTTGCTCTGTTAAACAGTGCCAGAATTTCTGATAACTGATCTCACAACCGAACACAAGGCAACAGGTGAAGATGAAGTTACATGGCAGAAGCACCTGTAACTTTTTTCCTCTTTCATAGCGGTGACAGCAGATGTTTCGATAATTTCCATGTCAGTGTAATTAGTAGTTGTATTGCTAATGAAATATGCAGGTTATTTTACAGACCCTCTTTGCCATCCACGTAATCTATATATGCTCATTTAAAATTTGTCAAGTAGGGAAGAGCAGCTAACGTGGGTAAACTTCGAAATTAAATATATTTCCAACAAAACGCATACGCACACCTGCAGTATATGCAGGTGTAAGAGCATATCTCTTAACACGTACAGGCACACATGGACAATAACACACATCCACACCCACCCACACACACATATATATATGTATACATACATACATACATACATACATATATATATATATATACATATATATATATATATATATATATATATATATATATATACATATATATATATATATATATATATATATATATATATATATATATATATATATATATATATTAATATATATATATATATATATATATATATATATATATATATATATATATATTAATATATATATATATATATATATATATATATATATATATATATATATATATATATATTTATATATATATATGTACACACACACACACACACACACGTATATATATATATATATATATATATATATATATATATATATATAAATATATATATATATATACATACATACATACATACATACATACATACATACACACATGCACAGTGAGATATATATACACCCATATATATATATATGTGTTAGTGTGTGTGTGTGTTAGTGTGTGTGTGTGTGTATGTGTGTGTGTGTGTGTGTGTGTGTGTGTGTGTGTGTGTGTGTGTGTGTGTGTGTGTGTGTGTGTGTGTGTGTGTGTGTGTGTGTGTGTGTGTGTGCGTGTGTGTGTGTGTGTGTGTGTATGTGTGTGTGTGTGTGTGTGTGTGTGTGTGTGTGTGTGTATGTATGTATGTATGTATATGTATATATATGTAAGGGAGTAGATATGAAGAGCGTAAGATACGAGTAAACGTAGAGCGCAAAGGAAAAGCGGCTGTATTGATTAGCGGATGAGTAGGAGTGTGCAAAGTCCCGTATGAATGAATTCTAAACCAACGGAGATTCAGTTTTGAATGCCACACTTTATATTATTCATTATTCATTATTCATTATCAACTTAACATTTGAATAATCTGAATTAGCAAATGCAAGGTGTTAGTGATAGGGACTCGTGACCAACATATTAATGTAATAATTCATACTGACCAACACAAAAATAATACAAAAAAAAGAGATATAGTAATAAAGTGGTGGAAATAAGAAAAATGAAACACAAAAAGATGGAAAAATAAATAAATCAGTATTAGTCACAGTTAACGAGGTGGGGTGGGGGGGCTCCTGAAAACACACACCCTGATTCTAGCGCCCGGACAGAAGAGACGTGACTTGTGTGCCCAGCCGAGGGGGTATTGGGCGGCTACCAGAGGTTGATATAACACCATGGAACTAAGCAAGATCAACAAGGGCAAATGCTAACGGGTGAAGTGGCGGTGAAGAATCCATGGCGCGAGTATTTAAACACTCTTCTGTATGTCGAGAAAGAACGGGAAGATTTACCATCAGTTGCGCCCACGGAAGGTCCAGTACAGAATAATGTCAGTAAGGAGGAAGTGAGAAAGGCAATTACGGGCATGAAGTCGGGAAAAGCTGCTCAGGAGTAACTATTGAGTTGATCAACGCATTGGATGGAGAGGGTGTTGAAATGATCCATTCCATTCTGGAAAGTATGTGGGAGGAAGAAGAGATGCCAGAGGACTGGGAGAAAAGTATAATAGTGCAAACAGAAGGGCGATTCAATGGACTGCGGAAATTTCAGAGGAATTAAGCTATTGGAACAGATTAGGAAAACATCGGAAAGCGTTTTGGACCAAAGGTTGAGAGAAATCGTCGAAATTGATAACATGCAGATGGGATTCATGCGAGGAAGGGAACAACCAATGTAATCTTCATAGTAAAGCAACTGCAAGAGAAATACTGGAAGGGGAAGAAAGACCTGTTTTTCTGTTTTGTTGACCTGGAAAAGGCTAATGATTTGGTGCTGATGGTGGAGAGTGAAGAGGAACTTCAAGAGAAATGGGAGGCCTGGCACGAAGGCATGGAGAAGAAAGAATTGAAAGCCAACATCAAGAAAACTGAAGTATTGGTGAGCAGTAGAAATAAAACAAGAGTCAACATCACGGACAATCGAAGCAACACAGTTCTGAAGCAAGTTAGCGAGTTTAAATATCTGGTGAGCGAGGGAGGTGGTGCAGAACCAGCTATCAAGGTTAGAGTTAATTTAAAGCGACCTGGAACAAGTGGAGGGAACTATGTGGTGTGATCAATGACAAACGGATGCCAAGAAAGATAAGTCAAGTTGTACGAAACAGTGGTAAGACCAGTCATATTGTACGGCCTGGAAACGTGTGCGTTGACGAAAAAGTAAGAAAGGTTGCTCGTAACAGCTGAAATAAGGAATCTGCGAAAGAAAAGGAGCAATGACATCCGGAATGAACTGAGAGTATGTATCATTATAGAAAGGACCAGGAAGAGCAGGTTGCGATGGTTTGGACATCTTGAAATGGACAGCCAGCTAAGGACATCACGAACTTGACAGTGGAAGGCAATAGATGACGCGGGAGGCCGAGAACACGGTGGAAGGACAACATCAAGAGGGGCTTGCGGGAGCTGAATCTGACGGCGGAACTTGTTGGGAAAAGGAGAGGATGGCGGAGGAGGATTCGGGCGGCCGACCCTGATTAATCGGGACAAGGCCTACGGCGAAGAAGATATATATATATATATATATATATATATATATATATATATATATATATATATATATATATATATATGTGTGTGTGTGTGTGTGTGTGTATGTATGTATGTATGTATGTATGTAGGTATGTTTGTATTTACGGAGTGAGAGAAAGACAGAAAGATGAAACAAAGATTTGATATAACATTGCATAAACTGTAAAGTATTTTTTCCTAACACAAGACCTACGTTCTCCTTTTGTCTATAGGGATAATGTATTTTTTGTAAATTTTCAATCGCACACATGCGCATATATATATACTTATGCTGACTTCGAGAGAGCAATCACTTTTTATGGTATCTATAAATCCCAGAGTTTTGCCGAGAATGATTGGTGGCAACGACGACGAGGCCACACATACGTGTCTATGTTACTATACATATATTTACATCTATCTATCTGTCAGGGCTTTCAGGACCTCTCGGTTTTAAGGTTTTTGCTGTAGTGGCTAAAGGGACTGATTTGACTCCTCCATAGCGAACTCAGCCTTGGCCCTTGTGTAATACCCTGGCTGTTTTGCGCAAACCTTGCCGCGATCCTGATTACTTGCAATTAGCTTCGTGCCCTATAGCCATTCTTTCCTATACGTTTTTCTTCGGCATTAGGGTTACTCACTTCTCACCTTCACCCACGTTATGGCATGATCATGGGTCATGTCATTAAATTATCCCATAATGGGGAGCCCATCTCTTGTGAGGTTGCTCTCCAGAAGGTGGCAGTCACACATCTCTTCAAAGTCCCCTCTGGCTTCAAAGTGACAGTAGCCAAACCCGAACAACTGACCCCATTTCTGAGCGCCGAAGGCCAAAGAAAGTTCAAAGATCATGGCTTCACTCCTGTTCCCTCTCCCGAAACGAAGGCAAAATGCACGGTCGTGATTAAAAAGATTGACAGGACGATCCTCCCACGATCGTGTGAATCTGTCTACTAGGAAGTATCCGCCAGGTGTCACTGTCGTTGACGTTTACAATTTTCCCAAGTCCTGAATACTTAAGATTCGTGTCTCTGCCCCAGAGGAAGCGCAGAAACTTCTTTCACGAGGGATCCTAAATAAAGTTTCAGGCACCATTTCATTGTACGCTGGAGTACCTCAGGGCAGCATACCCAGGCTGACACTCTATACATTATACACAAACGACCTTCCAGATCCCACACACACAGACTCACTCACTATCCTCTATGCTGACGACTGTACGCATTTAACTCGACACGATGCGCTTTCAGGTGTCGTTCAAGGCATCAATGACGAGCTCAACACCGTCCCTAGACGGGAGCATAAATGGTGTATCAAAACCAACGCGACAAAAACAAAAGTTCTCTGTGTAAGACCACGAAAACTTCCTCCTTAAGCATTGGCAAGAAAAGCTTTACATTCGCTTTATTGATTTAAAAGTGCGGCCACACGTACCAAACTGCATCTATACAAAACATTAATAAAACCTCTCCTCACATACACAGCACTTGCACTCACACAAACAGCATACACTAACCAGCGCAAACTCTAGCTTGTTCAGAATAAAGCTCAGATGGAGCTATATGAGTTGGGATCGATTTATTAGAACATGTGAACTCCATGAGGAAGCTTCTCTGCTTCCTTTGAACATTGAGTGCCGTAGATTGGTCTGTAAACAGACCGACACACTCCGTGTTTGGCATACCGACTGGCTGGATAAACTCAACACCATCTTTCGTTTCGGCCGGAGACCGGGATTAGGCCATGATCTTTGATATGGGACGAAGAAGTAGATGCAGTTTTTTTCGGCTTGGCCGCAGCCTTTGTAGCCATCTCATAGCGCCCACCCCTTATCTTCTCCTTTGCAAAGACCTTTTACTTCCCTTTACTCTGGGAACCACTCGGACTTTGTCCAGAGGGGGCACTATCTTTTTTCACAAAGTGTGGCTTCGTCTA